TTAATGTTCGGCTCCGCCCGAACTTAGACTTTCTTACTTGTTAATTATATTTTTTTTTTGTATACATATACAACGAAATTTTCGGGTTTAAGAAAGTATAAGTTCTCTTGTAGCCTTCACAACGATAGCAATTGTTTAAAAATCGGTCAGTAATTTTTTTGTTTAAAATATTTTTCTTTATAAAACAAAGGCATTTTTTGCACGAAGTATACAAATATGCACACCGGAAGAAGGCGGTTCAATCGCCTTTACAACGATACCAAATTCCTAAAAATCGGTTAGTAATTTCATTGTTAATTTTTTGTTTTTTATAAAAAAAGGTATTTTTTCCGTTGAAGTGTTTTTTCTCAAATTTTTATATACGAAGTATACAAATACGCATATCAGAATAAAGAAGATTTGATCGCGTTAACAACAATATCAATTTTTAAAAAATCGGTTAGTAATTTATTTGTTTAAAATATATATATTTTTTTAAGATATTTTTTCCTTTGAAATGTTTTTTCTCAAACTTTTACATTCAAAGTATAGAAATATGCATATCAGAAGAGAAGAAGGGGGTCCAATCACGTTTACAACAGTACCAGCTTTTTAAAAATCAGTTAACAATTTTTTGAAATATAAGGTTTTTAATTTTTCGAAGACCCGACTTTCGCCCCCTTATAGCAACTGTAATATAAGTTTGCAAAGAAAAAGTTATAAAAATTTAAATAAGAGCAAAAGGCGGTCTACGACTGTATTTTTAGTTATTTACATATAATAATAAAAAATAATTTTTTACCAAAGAACATATTTCGAAATTCGAAGGCCTATATATCGATTTTGGCGGCTAACTTCGAAAAATGGAGAAGTTATTTTTTTACCTATGACTCAATCTCTTAAAAAAAATTGGTTTGGTCCAATACGCAGCGGAGTGCTGTACAGTGTAATGATTCTAGTATCTTCATTTACGTATATTGTAACTATCAATATCTTATAAAGAGAAGTTTAAAATTTTTTTATCTAAAACTAATTAAGTTAGAAGGACGAAATTCGAGAATGTGGTAGTTTACGTGTTAGTCATTCACATATATTTTTTTCAAAAATAAATATTGGAAATTTCCAAGAATATTCAAGGATAAAGTTTTAAAAGGACATATTCGACATTTATTCGTCCTGGTGAAACAAAAAATTAATTTTGTTTTTAATTCTACAGAATTTTTTCTTTTAACTGATACCCATATTGTTACTCTACAATTCACCAAATCTTTTAAATAATTTTTTTATTCAGTCATATCCTGGAAATATCAATGTCCTTTAAAAAAAATCCTGACGTCAGAGAGAAAAATTAAATACGCAGTTTTACTATATTTGGCTCCTAGTTTTGTGAATTCATTTTTTCGTGTGTTTTAAAAATTTTTGGTTTTTGTCGCACGGTGAAATACATGGAAAACTTTGGGCGCTTTGAGCGACCTCTTAATATTTTTTGATTTCAAAATAAAAAATATGGGTTTACTTTTTTCGGTTTAGAACAATCTTAGGGGGTGAGAACATAAAAATTCCGATTTTACTTTTTCACATGCATTTTTGGAACACCCTAGTATACATACAAACTAAATTAAAAAATACTCTTCCGGTTTCGTTTAAAAGAACAGAAAATAGTGATTGACAATGGCACAGTTTTGGCATTAAGTATCTAAATTATCTTGATATTTGCTTCATATTATGTGTATGGATATTCATTTACAGCTATGTTCATAAGATTTTACAAGCGAGTATTCATGAATTAATCGTACCATACAAATTACATACAGTCACTCTCAAAAGGATTTGTAATTTAGTCTTTTCACAATATTCAAAAAGTTTTCCAAAAATCTTTCTCTATAATTTTCATTTAAAATATAACTCATTCTATAACAAAAACCGCATAAATCATTTTTGCAAACTTTGTATAAAATTCATAAAATTAATCAAGCTTTAAAAAATGTTCATCAAATTTCAAAGTTTTTAATCAGATTAAAAAAATGCAGTTTTGTAGCCCGTTCAATTTCAGTGATAAGGTGGAAGTTTCAAGTAGATAGAAATTACCGTTGATTTATTAGAATTTTTTTTTGTCGACGGTGTTAAAACTTGCACTTTATGTATTATACTGAAAGGCAGCTAAATTTTCTTTTGTGTCTGTGCATTCATTGAATGATTCAATAGCTGAATATCCTTCTAAAATGCATGCATTGTTGGATGTAGTTGACTTATTTGGTTTAGAAGTTCACCAAGCAAACCTGTATCCTCACTATTGTCCTCGCTTTCTATTGTAACCATGGGTCGGATTTGCCTCATTTTAGCCCCTCGCTTTCTCGTTAGTTTGCTCTGAGCTTGCGCAACTCACGAGCAGCGTTGCCGTTTTGCTTACATTTAAGCAAAATTGCCTAAGTTTTTCCTGCGTGTTAAAATGTTAACCTTTTCTTCGTTTTGCTAAATATTTTTATCTAAATAGTCAAAATGTATTTTTTGTTATTTTATGGCCTTATAACAATTATATTCAACAGTTTTATTGAGCTCGAGGCCATTTTTTCAAAAAATAAAAATTATTATTTCCACAATAGCTTTTCATTTCAGAACGGCCTCGAGCTCAATAAAATTATTGAATATAACTAGTCAAAACGGATAATTTTCCTCAAAAATTCATAGTCAGAAGAGTTACTATTTCAATAAATTTTTCAAATTTATTTTAGGGAGACTGTCATCCAGATCCCACATAAAGTTCCAGCAAATGTTGCTCTACGCAATTCCCAGTCTGCGGTCGTATTTTCAAACCTCCGAGTTTACTACTGCCATGAAGTCGCTTCTCATAAAACCATTTGCCGGAGTATGTATTGAAAGCCTGAAAGAATGTGTAATAGTTTTCAAATTTAGCAACTGTTAGGCCAGATTTCAGATGGCCTAATTAAGTAGAGATTGTTGATTAATTTTCACTATTCATTTTCAGATCATACATTTAGTCTGCACTTAAATGGCCAATTTTGCTATTATTTGCATTACCAACCGCGCTAGAGTGCGGACGTGTTTTGCTTCGGCTCTTGCTTTTTGACTTGAAGATGAAACCAAAGACGATATCTACGCGCCAATTGATAAGTATTATGTCAATTTATTTCTTTAGCTTTCGGTGCTAATATTGCACCCTCATCAGAATTATAAAAAATCTGTATATTAGCACAGATTTATATATGTGTGTTTAACGCAAATTAAGCTGCGGCACCATGGATTGTCCATCTTATTATACACACATATATGTCTCCGCAACTTGGTCAAATTGGCGGTATGTTTACCCTGTTTCTTATGGGAGTAGCACGTAATAATTGTAAATCTTCCGGCAACTTACTTACTACTTGCTTTTTGGTTTGTTAGTGGTTTTTAATATGGACTCTTGCGGAAAGTGTGGCAAATCATTTGCGCGAAATGATACTTTAATTGTGCCGTGCAGTGGTTTTTGTCAAAAACAATTTCACCGTACTTGCTGTGTGGGCCAAATATCAGAATATGATGACAGGCTATTTAACCAGAATAAGCATATCTGCTATCTTTGCCCTGAGTGTTTGTTATTGCCTGCAAAATTAACAAGGTCTTTGGAGTCTTTCATGGCTACGCATAAAAATGGCTTAGACTCTATTGTAACCACAATAATGGGCCAATTTGGTGAAATTCAAAAAGAAATACATAATAAATCTAAAAAACTGTGAACACAACAAAAATGTTTCATCATGTTTAAAAACTTTATGTACAGAATTCGGTTCCCTAAAGGATGTTGTTGCTAATTCTAAATCAACTGCTAAGATGAACAACAACAAGAAAAAGTTAAACCGTTTTCCTGACCTACGGAGAGCGATGCCACCAACCTCGGCTATGGAAAATGTTTCACACTCTCAAACTGACATGGTTGCTAAATCGTCGGTTCTGTCATTGGCTGAACCTTCGGCTTTTGAGAGTTCTGCGATTGTTAACAATGCACCCTCACTTACTCCAGCTGAGGCGGATAATAATGATACTTCGGATGCTTTGCCGTCGGTTTCTCAACAAATGCGAACTGCATTATCAGCTAATATGATAACAGCAAACAATGCTTCTTCATCTTCTCCTGCTGACGTGAATAATGTCACTTCTGTCGCTGTGTCATCAGCTTCTAAACAAATGCCGACTGCGTTATCAACTGCATTGGCTACGGTTACTAAAACATCTTCACCTTCCACTGCTGTTGTAAATGCTACTCACAATGCTTTGCCATCTGCATCTAAACAACTGCCAACTGCTTCGTCAGATATATTAAATGCTTCTACCCAGCCGCAACTCGGGGCTGATTGGATTACTGTGCCGCGAAAGAAAGTGCCCAAGCGGAGAAATGTCGTGGTTGGCCGTAATGAAAATAATGATCTGGGAGTATTTTCGCGTTTTAAGTGGCTCCATTTATCATCGTTCAAGCCAACGGTTTCGGAAGTCGATATTATTAATTACGTGTCGAATCAAGTCATCGTTGATAAGCAACAAATTGCCTGCTATAAACTGGTAAAGAAGGATACAAATGAGACAGCCCTTAAATATATCAACTTCAAATTGGGAGTTCCTGAACATGTATATTTTAATTTGCTGAAGCCAGAAATCTGGCCAACAAATGTTAATATTCGACAGTTCCGTTTTTTTCAAAAACAGGGAGGGCAACTGCCCCCGGCATAGTTGCTTCTCCCAGGCCGAACAAGCACATTAAACTCTATTTTGAAAACGCCTCTGGACTCCGGACTAAGGCCGATACTGTCCGAATGCTAAGTGCGCACTTGGAGTATGATATTTTTGTTATCGTTGAGACTTGGCTCAATGCAAATTTTTTCGATGCGGAGTTTTTCGACCCGAATCAGTACGATGTCTTTCGTAAAGACAGAGATCCCATTAAAACCGGATGTAGCCGAGGTGGGGGAGTTTTGATTGTGGCCCGTACTAATCTCCAAGCTTCGTTTCTACCTCTTCAAAATGAAGACACTATCATCGATCAACTTTGTGTTCGTGTCAGTGGTTCCCTTGGATTGCTGTATATTTGCGCCTCTTATATACCTCCACTTAGCTGTGCTAACTTATACATGTCGCATGTTGACAATGTGTTAGCTATTCATCGTAATATTGGGGACAACCAACTTTGTGTGCTTGGAGATTTCAACTTAAGCAATGTAAGCTGGNATTCATCGTAATATTGGGGACAACCAACTTTGTGTGCTTGGAGATTTCAACTTAAGCAATGTAAGCTGGTCATTTTTCGATAATAATTTATTCTTGACTCCCTCAAATGTACAAAGTTCTG